TTCATTAAAACATTAAAAAACTAATCTCAATCCAAAAATCCTTCCCTGAAGTTTAGTGACCAGCCCCGGGGCATGAATGAGGAAACACACCACGCAGGTCAAAGGCTTGGCTGAAGTCATAGGATTCTACCTGTTGGCCCTTAATTAGCTTGAGGTGTCTCAAACACCCATGAAAAGAGCTCTTGCTTGTCAGGCAGTTTTGCTTCATGTCACCTGCAAAAGAAAACATGAAATAGATATTATCTGCTTCTGTTGGAAGGGAATTGAAGCCACATGTGAAGAAGGATAGAAAGCACCAGGCTTAGAAACTATTCTTTAAAAGTCATTAGACATAAAACTTGGGCCACTAGAGCAACAGATTCTATGAGGGGTGGGAGCTGAGATGCTCACACCCCTCAAGACATGCTCCATGCTTGCAGGCTCAGAATTTTCAATAGCTACCCCATGGTTCACACCAGCCAAACTAGACAGGCAAACCTCTCAGCAGTAGGGGAAAGAAATCATCCCCGCCTGATAGCTGTGCCACACTCAGAACACTCAAGCTACGTCTATATTGCACTCTTCTTCCACAAAAGCTTATGCAAATGAAGCTTGGAGTAGAATATTGCTGCATTTCATTTGCATAATTAATTAGGGCCGTTTTTGTAAAAAAAATCCCAGCCCCCTAATTAATTATGCAAATGAAGTGTGGCAATATTTTACTCTGCGCTTCATTTGCATAAGCTTTTGCAGAAGAAGGGTGCAGTATAGACGAAGCCCCTGACATGGAGCCCAGTACATCTACCAGGACATTGCAGCTGCTCATTCTGCACAACCTTGTAGTCTCTTGCCTTAGTCACTCCGGGTATGTCTACACTGCAAAGTTAATTTGAAATAACAGCCATTATTTCGAATTAACATCAATAGCGTCTACACATGCAAACCGCTAGTTCAAAATTAATTCAAAATAGTGGAGCGCTTAATTCGAATTTGGTAAACCTTCCGTTAAAAGCATTTGCGGAAAATCGTGCCAGTCTAGACATAGCCTTATTGTCTA